AATATTTAAAAAAAAACTTATATTTTTATTATATATTTTTAAAAATTTAAAAATAACATTTAGAAAAAAATATTTTAGAAAAAAGTATCAGAAAAAATTTTTATAAAAAATATTTCTAAAAAATTGGAAAAATTTATAGAAAAATCTTTTTCTCAGAAATTCTCAAAACATTTTTTAAATATTTTTTTATTTTTTTAAAAAAAATATTTGAAAAAAATTTGACATTTCTTTTCTCAAAAATGTTTTTCTAAAAATGTTAAAATGAATTTTTGGGCATTTATTTTTAAAGATCATCTTGTCTGCATGTTTCTTATCAAATAACAAAAAAAAAAATGACAAAAAAAAACAAACAAAAAAACCCACCAGGACCACTGTGGTCCTGTTGCTGCTGTTCTTTTTGTCAAGATCTTTTCATTCTGTTCTGCTGTTGTTTTGGTATCACTGTTCTTGGACGTTATCCTGAAGTCTATGCTCCCTATCTTCTTCTACTACTTTTGTTTTTTAATCAGGGATTTTTCATTGGACTGTTCCAGTGAGTTGCCTCCACCCCTCTCTATAAATGGCTACATGTAATCCTCCTGTTGCCTTATTCGAACCTGTAATCCGTATAGTCGCCTTTGATTTATTCAGTCAACAAAAATGAGGACCATCAGCTGGACTACAGCGGTTTTGTGTGCTGTCTTCGTCACTTCTACAGGCAAAGGTAAACTATTTTTGTTTGGATTTTATATATTGTGATATTTCGTTTTTACATATTACGAGAAGACAATATACATTTCGCTTTTTTTAGCATGTTTGAGAAAAAACATTTATATACAACGGTCACCATCGTTGATCATGGCAAATTAATAATGACATCGTTGACGAGGCTGTTGGGGAAACCTGTTTGAAGCGGTGTTTAAGTAATCACAATCTGACACTTTCTTACAAAACTAACGTTCGTAATATTTAAACGAATGCTTCACATACGTAGCTGAACAGGTCAAGGATTGTGCAGCGCCGATTCAGTTTCCCCATGTCCGGCTGCGTGGCGTGTATAATGGCAGACAAACATTCAAGACTGGAGAGAAGGTTTACTACATCTGCGCCGAGGGCTTCACTGAAGCCGGAAACTACAAGAAACGGCGAGGAGTGAAGTGTGTGGGAGGAAAATGGACCAAACTGAAGTTAAATTGCACAAGTAAGAGTTCATGAACGGTAATTATTGATTCGACGCATTCGTTTTTTATTAGTTATTCGTTTTATTACACGAATACTGAAAATACAGGGGGATATTTGCAGTCTGTGATTCCAAGTTGGCCCTCTCGCGTTCAGATGACTGAACTACTTCCGAAATTCGTACTTCTAACAACTTATTTTTTTCCAAATTCCAAAACTTTACCCCCCGTATCACAACATTTAATGTCGGTATGATTTTTTTTCTCTCACAAACGTATTATCACATCGCAATAGCGCCAATTTTTTAAATTAATAAAAAGGCGTTTCTACTTTTTTCTTAAATGTTTCCTAAAAATTTCTTTTCAAAAATATTTTTTTCTAAAAATGTTTTTTCTAAAAAAAATTTGAAAAAAAAAAATTCTAAAACTTTTTTCTAACCATTTTTCCAAAAAAAGTTTTTTTCTAAACCTTTTTCCCAAAATATTATTTTTCTGATTTTTTTTTTTTTTTTTTTTTTTTTTTTTAAAGTGGTTGAATTTTTTTTTTTTTAAGAGGGGGAAAAACCACCCC